AAATGGAGAAGCCAAAGAACTTATATATATAACCCATGAACAAGAACTAAGGTGGGGATGTGGGTAGGATGGGGGAGGGTACAGGACAGAGAGGAATAAAGGGGGGAAAATTAGATAACTGTAATAGCATAATCAATAAAAATATTTTTTTAAAGTACATTAAAGTCAGCCAAAGAATCTGAACAACTTATAGCCCGCTGGTGAATTGAAAGATCTTATCTCCCCTAACCAAGGCTGGGTGAGAACAAATAGTTTTACCTGTCTTCAGGCAAAGAAGACTAAAGACTAACACAGACTAAATAGATTCAATCACCCTGGTTGGGGTGAAACTAAATAACAGAGACCAAATTAATGACATTTGTGCCAGAATAACACAAGGACAGATGAAGTCAGGGGAACAAACAACCAAACAAAAAACAAAAAGTGTTGCAGCTGGACAGACCAAACATAAAAGTAAAATAGTGAATTGACTGAAGAATAATCCCAACCCCCCCATGTACTTATTTTGATGCAGCAACATATTACAAACACCCCTGAAAGCTGATGAATATTCTGCTGACACCCTTCCCTAAATTTCTCGCCCTGAGAAGAAAGATAAAAAACCTCCAGACAAAGACCTGGGGCAGCTCACTCTAGAGCTCACCCACACCCCCATGTCAGACATGAACTTTTTTCTGTCCTTCTGAGCTCTAAGGTGCCCTTGGAATTATCAGCCAGGGGAGCAGTGGGCAGCAGCAGCTTGTCTCAGGCTTACCCCCATCCTGACTTTAAGTCCCCCTTTTCCCTGACCCTCCAGTGAGCTGACTGCAGCCCCACCTTGGCTCACTCCTTTCCTGTAACATTCCCAGGAACCAGAGTAGACCCACCTAGGCTTTCTCCAGTGAATTCTCCTACCCCAGGTCCTTCCTGTTTGTCACTGTCCCCGGCTTTAATAAACATACTTTCAAAATCCCCTAGACTCAGGTTCTGGAATATTTTCCAGAGGAAGTCAAGCACCTGCACACCACACACCACACGCCACTCACCATAGGCTGGCCTGAGGCAGAACTGCTCACTCCCAGGCCTGTTTGGTGACCACAGCTGCTAAGGGACCCAGTGAAAGTGAATCATCAAGGCTCCCAGAGAAAACACCCTGTGTTCGCTGCAGCCCCACCACCCCAAACCTCTCTGAGTCTCATTTTCCCTGTCCCCCACAAAATCCTACACCAAGTGTCTCATGAGTTTGCTCTGAAGATTATACTTGACCCTCTATGCAGATCCCATGGTGTCACTGCCTGAGACACATGAAGTAATCCTCTGTCCATAGTTACCATCATTCTGTTGATTGGAGCATTTAGAGACATTCTATCCTTTTGCTTTTTCAAAACCACAATACAAGAAACCTCCTTAAATAAATATTTTTGAGGACATGTGTGATCATCTTATTAGGATAAATTCCTAAAAGAAGAATTTCTGTGTCAAAATGTAAGCACATTTAAATTGCTAAGACCTTTTATAAAAGCATCCTTCAAGAGTTTTTCCTGGTTTTCAATGTCTTCAACCTTTACAACAGAATGTGCTCCCCACCCTTGGGCTGATACACTCATCATTTTCTTTCATCTTTACCAAACTGATAGATTTTATTTATTTTATTTGTTTAAAGATTTTATTTATTTATTTTTAGAGAGGGAAGGGAGGGAGAAAGAGAGAGAGAGAGAAAGTTCAATGTGCAGCTGCTGGGGGCCATGGCCTGCAACCCAGGTATGTGCCCTGACTAGGAATCGAACCTGCGACGCTTTGGTTCGCAGCCCACACTCAATCCACTGAGTTACACCAGCCAGGAGATTTTTTTTTTCCTATTTTTCTTATTCTACAGTCTCATTTTTGTTTACATATATTTATTACAAGTAGAGTTGTTTGACATTCTCATTTCTTCTTTTCCAAATTGTTTTCTAATATTATTTAATTTGGACTGAGTTGTAACTATTTTTAAATACTGAACTTAAGAAGAAAGGAAAAGCATCACCAACATCAAAACGGGTCTGGTGATTAGATCTAGGCCCAGTGTTGCCAGAAGCTGGCCTGGTGCTCACAGCTAGGCCAGGTTGCTCACCAGGTGGACATACGTGGCCTCACAGAACATCAGCATCAGACAAGAGTGTCCCGAGACCACTGCGCCAGGAGACAGAACAACACCACACTGCGGGTTGTCTCAGCACAGACAGAAAGGAGACACGGTGCAACTCACACACTACCCAGCAGCTCCGAGGCCTGAGAACAGAACGGAAGGCAGAGTCTTTCCCATCACCCCTCACCCTGGCTCCATTCTGCCATGTCCCCAGGTTTTTCCTGAGATGCTCTATCACAGACTTGCCGGCCCCGCCTCCCCCGCCCCGTCCTGAGGACAGCCAATCTAGAGGCACTACTGCGCCCACAGATTCTCCCAGGGATCTCTATTCACAGCCCAGGTCCTGGGCACATCCTGTCTCACCGCGTCCCTTGAAGGTGCCCACTCCCCCGGGGTGTGCACTCCCCCTCGCAGGAGCCATGCACACAGCCCAGTGTCTACCTCAGGCGCTCCTCGGGGTCTTTGGCGGAGGAGCACTGACACAGGTTACCTTCCTCTGTCAACATTTTTATGTGTCTTTGCGTTTGGTTGTTAGCGTGAGTTTGTATCTCCAGAATGTGTGGTTCACATGGGAGAGTTCTTTGTTTTCCTTTATGATTTTTCATCTTTTGGTCTTAGAGAATTTTTCATTCCACAATTGTAAAAACTTCATATATATTCTCATCTAGGGGTCAGGCATCCAAAGGTGAAGGGAAACAGAATTGCTCAAATTCTGGGGGAAATAGGAGGAAGACAAATTGGTGGGGAATCTAAGTTGGAACACATCTTCCTCTTTACAACTTTTTCCTTTTTTTTCTTTTCTTTTTGTTCATTTTTTTCCTCTTGAACTCTTTCTTCAAAGTTCTTTTCAACTTTCCCTTATGGTACTTGTTGACTATCGGTCTCATGCCATATTTAGCCTTAGATGGAGTTTACCACACGCTTTGGGCTCCATTCCCAAGCAACCCAACTCTGGGAAGACCCGGACCCAATGCACAGGGGGCCACTACTCGCCTCACACTGTCCAATGGCTGGGCCTCAATCAGCAGGACTTGGGTCCCCCAGGAGCAGTGCCGGGGTCTTTACAACTTTTTGATTACATACGGGGCCTACAGGAATGTGGTACATGTTGTGCTCACACATATTTATTTCTTGAGTTAATAAAGACGTGTGCCTGCTGATGTCTCCAGGTTCACAAAAACAACACCAAGGGTCCCAAAGTGATGTACACAAGGACCAACTCCAGTGAGGAGCATTTTTGATCATTTACAACCTTAAGGCATTACATCCCATTATTGTTGGTGTCTATAGACTGTAATTGTTAAGTGAATATTAACTAATCTTTCTTGGGTATGCTGTATTTTGAGGATTTATCTAAGACCCTCAGAAACAAATGAAGACCTCAGAGTTGTATAGAAACTAATATAATATTGGTCATCAACTGTAACTAAAAAATTAAAAAAACAGTTAAAAGAAGGTAAGTATGTCTTGAATTCATTATATAAATTGATTAATTTAACTGTCCTTAATGAAAATAAAGAATAAAGAAACACAATATCTTCTATGATGACCGGGAAAGTGCACAAACACACTTCTGTTACATTCATTCCCAAGTGCCATGAGCCCAGGAAAGTGACCTGTGAGGGCTGAGTCAGCCTCTTCCTCACAGAACAGCAAGTTCACTTAAGAGAATGAGAGACACAGAACCTGTGATGACTGAGGTGTGGTGAACTGGTGAACACTCTCTTAAATAAACGTGAGCTTGTCCCTCAAGGAGAGTCAATGGGCTGTTGACACCTGACAGCACTTGTTGTCTGGATGAAATGGAGGCTCTCAGAGGAAAATCAAGATTCTGGCAAAGGTGTGTCTCCCCACGGCAGCCAGACAACTTTCCAGAACTGACAACCATTTCCAGTGGAGTCTGTGGTAATGTTAACAAATGTGATTTTTGATGATGTGTCATTAAATGCATCAGCACTGGGAGATCTCTGTCACTTAGTGATTTAAATAGTCCTGCATCTGTACAAGAGCCACTCAAGCAAAGAAAAAATAGGAAATACTCAATGGATTTGTTTCAGGTTCCACTTTGCAAACAGCTTTACAGGAACTACCACTTGTGTAGCTTTAGTGAACCATCAAAGATGAATATCCACACTTACTTGAAAAGGTTAGTAAAACTGCTTCTCCTGTATATTTGTGTGAAGCTGTATATTTCTTCATATACTACAACCAAAATAACAGATTAAATGCAGAAGCAAATATTAAAATCCAGCGGACTACTAATGATACAGATAAGCACTGAGACTTGCAAAAGTTAAGTGTAAGCAGACACACTCTTCTCACTACCTCATTCATTTCCAGAATAGTTATTTTTCATAAAAACATTATTTCTCTTAACATATCATTGGTTATTAATATTTTTCCAAATGAATTAATTTTTTCAAACTGTTTTATTCCTTGCATGGTAAATATTGGTAGCTCTAACTCACATAAAGAAAATTATGTGTGGATCTGCTGTATTTTGTAAGACCGTATAGATGTTCTGCTACAAAATGTTTGAGGATCGCTAAATAAAACAGTACATGGGCCGGGACTCAGAGAGACAGCAGGACAGAGGTCTCTGTGCAGGAAGAGGGTTGGGGCAGGGTCCCGGGTCCCCAAGCCAGGTTCCCAGGGTTTCAGCCGGAAGACTGCATCTGGGGCAGGGACTCTCAGTGTTGGGGTGTGCCCTTCTCTCCCAGGTTTCCCTTCTCCTTCTCACGGGTCCTTCTCCCTGGATACTCCTGACGTTCTGCTGCGATTCTGGTTTGTATGTCCCAACTCTGCACGAGCCAATCGGCGTCACCGTGGATTCGAGTATAAAGTCTTCACGTAGTACCCGAGTTCTTTCCCCTTAGACGCTCGGGGTCTGGTCATGGGGCCCGGACCTCTGTTCCTGCTGCTCTTGGGGGCCCTGGCCCTGATGGAGACCTGGGCAGGTGAATGCGGGGTCAGGAGGGGACGGCCTCTGTGGGGCAGGAGCAGGGGACCCGCAGGGAGCGCAGAACCCGGGGACGCAGACGCGTGTCCCTAGACCCCAGATCCCAGACATCGGACCCCAACCTCTATCTTCCTCTCCTCCCGCCCCCACCCCCTCCTCTCATCCACCGAATTCTTTTCTGTTTCCCGGGCGGTCTGCTGCTACAGCCACGTGCCCAAGACGCCCGTCTTCCACGACCCCAGGCCCACACACCCTGAGACATTTCAGCACCTCAGTGTCTGGACTCGGGAAGTTCCAGCACATTGGGGTTGGCTACGTGGACGACACGGAGGTCACGTGGTTCGACAGCGACGTCCCAAACCCGAGGGTGCAGCCACGGGTGCCGTGGAAGGAGCAGCCCTGGGTGCAGATGGAGGATCCAGATTTTGGGGAGGAGCAGACGCAGCTCTGCAAGCAGTGTGCACTGGTTTCCCGAGCAAGGATGAAAAAACTGCGTGCCTACTACAACCAGAGCGAGGAAGGTGAGCCACACGCTCCCGGATCCGGACACAACCCCCGTCCCCACTGATGGGCAGGAGTCTGCCAGAATCTGTGGGTCCAAACATCTCCCTGGGGCTGTGGGATCCGCCCTGCACCCATCCCGGGAGGAGCCTGCGGGGATCCTAACCCAGTCTTCTTTTTTTTTTTCACTCTGTTTGCGTTCAATCCCCTCAGGACGAGTTGGGTCTCCACCATTCGGGTATGGGGGCGGGGCTGGCTTTAGGGCGGGGTCAGGGTTTCACACCTTGCAGGTTACTTTTGGCTGCATTGTGGGGTCGGACCTGGGCTTCCTCAGCGCCTATGGTAACACCGCATACGACGGCACCGAAACCTTCGCCCTGAACTTGGACCTGACTTCCACCACCGAAGCTAACAAGACCACCCAGATCACCATTCGGCGCAATTTGTTGCATGAAGAGGGCGTGCAGGGATGGAGGGACTATCTGGAGTACACGTGTCTACGCTGGCTCCGCTTGTTCCTGAAGAAGGGGAAGAAGACGCTGCTACGAGCAGGTACCAGGGTGCGGGCCTCCTCTGGGGGGACATCTGTGGGCTGGGGCGGCTTCCTACAAGGAGAGGAGGAAAATGGGGAAGTGTTAGAATGTCCCTCCTGCTCGGGAGAGGGAGGAGTCCCCCAGGTGTCCTTATTCTGTGACTCACCCCTGGGCCCAGCTTTCTCTAAAGAACTGTAAGGGACCCAGCCTCTCCCTGTAACACCCCACAGCGGTTCCCTCACACCCTGCAGCACCTGATGCACCAGGACACTCTCCCTGGTTCTCTGGCTAAGACAGTCTCTGGAGGCCTCTGGGTTTTCTGAGTCATCAGCCTCCACCTAAGTCTGTGTCTCCCCTTAGAGACCTGGACACTCCTACCTCAGGTTCTCACCCTGATTCTGGCATTTTCCAAGAAATAGATTATCCCAGGTTTCTCTGTCCAGGCTGGTGTCTGGGTGTTGCTCTCCCTTCCCCCACCCCAGCTGTACTGTCCACTGTCAGGGTGGTCACATGAGCACTGCTAGAGTGTCCCATGACCATGCAAACTTCCTGAATTTTCTCACCCTCCCCTCAGACCCTACAAAGACACACCTGACCCACCACCCCATCTCTGACCATGAGGTCACCCTGAGGTGCTGGGCCCTGGGCTTCTACCCTGCGGACATCACCCTGACCTGGCAGTGTGATGGGGAGGACCTGACCCAGGACATGGAGCTTGTGGAGACCAGGCCTGCAGGGGATGGGACCTTCCAGAAGTGGGCAGCTGTGGCCGTGCCCCCTGGAGAGGAGCAGAGATACACGTGCCATGTGCAGCACCAGGCGCTGCCTGAGCCCCTGATCCTGAGATGGGGTGAGGAGGGGGTGTGGGCACAGAGCCTCTCCTCAGGGTGTCCCTGAGCAGGGTCAGGACTCAGGCCTGAGGTTGACCTCTCACCTTCCCCTTCCAGACCCCCCTTCTCAGACCACCATCACCATCGTGGGCATTGCTGCTGCCCTGGGTCTCCTTGGAGCTGCAGCTGCTGGAGCTGTGCTGTGGAGGAGGAAGTGCTCAGGTGGGCAAGGGGTGGGGCTGAGTTCCCTGTCCCCTGGGGGTCAAGCCCAGGTGTAACTGTGCTCTGCCTGATCAATGGGCATCATATCCCTACACAGGTGCTTGTCCATCTGGGGCCTATTTTCTAACACTGACTCTTCAGTGAGGACCATGGGAAAGTGAGGGACACATTTATCACCTGATGGTTCTAGTGATAGGGACTGATTCCCAGCTGTCAGAGTCCAGAAGGGAAAGTCCCTGCTGAGGACAGTTGTCCAGAGTGGTGGTAGGTCCAGTCTCCATGCATATACTTGCCCTGTATTTCCTGATCCTACCCTGGGTGTTCAGTCACAGTTCTGGAACCTTCCCTGGGCTTCAGAGTATGGGTCTCCTTTAGGGTCACAGGACCCAGTCTTCCCCCTGACTTCTCACAGAATGTTTCCTTCCACAGGCACAGAGAGGGAGAGCTACACTCAGGCTGCCTGTAAGTCTGGGTGTTGGGGAGATGACATCTGGGACCCTTGGGAGAGTGTGGGCTGGAGTCTGTGAGGAGGGCTCCCCCACCCCATAACTCTGCTGTTGTGTCTTCTCCAGACAGGAACAGTGCCCAGGGCTCTGGGGTGTCTCACAACTTCTAACTGTGAGACCCTGAGGGGAGGAAGTGGGGCACATTGGAACCAAGGGCACAGCTGGGTTTTGGGGATTCTCATAGTGGGACACTCTGAGCATGTATTTGGGCTGTGGGAGAATGTGACACTTCTAAGACTGACCTGAGTTTGTTCATGACAACTTTCTTTCCCAGTGTGACAGAGCTGCCTTGTAGGGGACTTGATGCTAAAATAGTCATTGCAGCCTCCCCTTGGGACTTTAAGGATCCCTGACTACTTTTTCTGCAACCCACATCAGAATGTGTCTGCATCCTTATCAGCTTCATTGGAGGAGCTGGGCACCAGGTCATCCTCCCCAAAGGGAACTGTGTCCTCTCCCCTGGGGACTGACCTGTCGTAGCATTGTTGGGGTTTTGCCAACTCATCCTGTGTTTTCTCAGCTAGGTCTCCTTGTTGCTCCTTTGTCCTTGCTGCTTCAAGAGAACCTTGTCCCAGCAGGACCTGGTTTCACAGGGACATGAGTGTCACCCGGGCCTTGTTATGGCTCCAGGGCTGTGCTCAGTGAGGGCTTCCTGTGGCTGCATCATCCTGGGCTCAACCTGGGTCTGCCCCTCAGCCCCTGTGTTTTGGGTATTTGTTGTTTCTTTGTTTTTGTAGACATTGTACCTATTTTTTTTCCTAATTAACCTATTAGAGTTTGTTTTTTACTAATACATTGGGCTGGCATTTGTTAATGGGATCATGTAGGTTTCCCTTGTATATTTCTATGATATTGTACAATGATGAGTCACTCAACCAGTGTTCTTTGAGTCCTGGTTAAACTACCCTCCATTTTTACATCTGGAATCCAGGCATTCCTTGGAAATGTTTTGGTTTCGTGTCCAGATGAACTCAGTAAAGCAACTATCACAATAAAGCAAGTCACACAAATGTTTTGGTTTCACTGAGCTAATCATGTTAGGTTTATGGTATATGTAGTCTATTAAATCTTAAATACTATTATGTCTAAAAACTAATGTACATGCCTTTATTAAATATACTTTGTTGTTAATAAAAATGCTACCTGTCAATCTGACCCTTTAGTGAGTTGTAATGCTTTTGCTGGTAGGACATCTTACCTTCAGTTGTAAAACAAACACAGCCTGGCTGAGGGGCTCGGTTGGAGTGTCACCCACACACCAAAAGGGTTCGATTTCCATTAAGGGCACATGCCCGGCTAGGAGTGAATTTATGGTCAGGGCGGGTAATCAATGTTTCTCTCTCTCTCACTCTCTGCTTTCTCCTCTGCAAAATCAGTAACAACAATCCTGGTTGAGGATGAAAATTAAAAATGCAGTCTCTATGAAGTTCAGTATACCTGTATACACTGTACACCTGTACCTCAGTGAACCAAGCACTGGCTGAATGGCCGGCCTCACAGAGCCCGTGTTGTGTGGCAAAGGGACAAACCATGCCCTGTGACCACAGTCAGTGAGGAAAGAGTACCCGTGAGCAGGTGGGAGGTGCTGTGGAGAAGGGGACCCCCTGGGGTGTGTTGGGAAAGGGAGGAGGCCTGTTCGATTAAGGTGGTCAGTGTGGGCCTCATGGGAAGGTGGCCTTGGAGGAGAAATGAGAAGGACAAGAGCCATTGCCCAGCAGGAGGCCTGGGGCAGGCTCCTTCCAGGCAGGGAGCCTCCCATGCAGATGCCCTGGGGAGGGAGCCTCTGTGTGTGGTTTGGAACAGCAGGGAGCCAGTGTGGCTGCAGCAGAGTCTTGGGAGGGGTCAGATTCTGGCCACATCCTGCAGGCCTGGGGGAGGCTGGAAGAGTTTCTAGCTTGACTGGGACAGTTTTGAGCAAAGACACATATGGTAGGACTGCCCTTTCATTTTATTTTATTTTATTTTATTTGTTACAGAAATGTTTATTTTAAAATTAGCCGTATATATATCAGAAGTAATTTAGATTAAAAGCTCCAAGGTAAGTGGTTACCAGTAAGTGTTACTCTATCTACACCTTCACCCATATAGTAAGCCATTTCAAGTCACTTTAACCTCATACACTTACCATGAGGTGTGGGGACAACCTGGGAAGGACAGACTGTGTGCCACGGGACAAGAGGACTGCACAGCTCCCCAGTGATATTCCTCGTGACCACCTGTGCTCCATGCACACTATTCAGGGTTTCTTCTCACACATTCCAATGTGACTTTTAGGAGCCTCTGGCTGTAGCTGGCTGAGTTCCTTGACTCAAGCCAACAGCAGCTTTGTTGCCTAGGAATCACCCCAAGCTTCCAGGACCCCCTCTAATAGACCTCATGGGTGTCCGTGTAAGGTTCAGAGAGCTGACCAATCTGAAGATGAGGACAGCTGCTTAAAGCAGGAGATGTTTCAGCATGCACTGTCCTTAATCCACTGCAGACACTGCCCTCATCCTGCAGATGCTGAGTCCTGGAAGGTCATGGCCAAGGAGCCCATGTCCTTCGTGGCTTCCTCTGAGAGTTCCTCCTCAAGGGAGAGCCCTCGGGCCACATGGTCAGTCTGGCTGCTGAGCTGAGAACAGAATCAGGAGACAAGGGACCAGCGAGGCAGGAGGGAAAGGTGTGGGGAAGCTCCAGGGTTCCAGGCTGCAGGTGCTGGGTGTTCTGATGGGGCTGTGAGTGGTGGAAACAGTGGGAAGGGACTGGACTCTACATGCATTTGGAAGATGGATTTCACAGCATTTCCTAAGGGTTCCATCTGGGGTGTGGGAAAGGAGTCAAGGAGGACACCCCACATTTGTACTGTGCCAGTAGAAAGATGGGGTTTTATCAGCAGAGAGAGAAAAGATGCTGGCAGGAGCATTCATGGGAGAGGGGATGGGCATTTCAAGCTTTGAAAGGATAAGAAGGTCCAGGTGAGATGTGTGTTAGAAACTGGTGTTAGAAACACCAGTGAGCTGTCAGGTTTCACAGATGAATGTGGAGACCTTGAGGAGAAATGTCTGGGTTGGAGACACAGATGTGGAGATGATGCTGCAAAAATTACATTTAAATCTGTGAGCATGGATGAGGCCACCAAGGGAGCAAGGATTGCAAAAGAGGACCAAACAAGGACTGGATACTACACCTACCTGTTCCACAGTGGGGACATTCATCTTGGTGACTCACCCAGGTTGGTGACGGTCAGACCTCCCCATCATACATTCACCATTTAGTGATAGTCATCCATTAGTAATTTACAAGGAGATATTCTGAGATTGTCCTATTATGCTCTTCATCACTTCTATACTCACCCTTCTTAGTCCCTCTTACAACTTTTGCCCAAGTCAGAGAAAATATCATGGTTGTCCTATATCAGCCCTGGACATTTATGAGTAGGGTGTAAACTACAGCACAGGGAAAGTAGGAAGTAATATTGTTGTGACTATGTATGGTGTCGTAACTATGTATGGTGTCAGATGGGTACTAAATATATTGGGAATTTTATTTAATAAGATATATGCATATATGTTTAATCACTCTGTTTTAGAGCTGAAACTAATACAATATTGTATGTTAAATGTAACTGAAAAAAATTTTAAATTAACTCATGGACACAGACAACAGTGTGGTAATTGCATGGGGAGGAGGTGGGATGTGGAGAGAGGATAGATGGTCATGGAAAAAAATAGAGCAAAAAATAAAATAATTGTTTAAGTTTAAAAAAAGTGCTAAGTTGACCAGTATGAGGTGCTTGGGGACAGAGTTGGGACAAGAGAAGAAGCTGAAGGAAAGAGCCCAGTGAGAAACACCATGAAGGGAACTCTTGGCCCAGATGTCAACACTCCCCAATGACATGTGACTTTAAGCTAAGCTCCTCCCCAGGAACAGGAGGCACTTTCTCTGCCTCCTGCCCACTGCTCCTGAGGGTGTCTCTGTAATGACCATCACTGTCCCTCGTCATCAGACATGTCTGAGGGCAATCTGCATGGGACAAGTTTGCTCTATGTTAGAGATGCCCCAGACTCCCCACACAGATGGTGTCCCTGACAGGAGAGGTGACGTGATAGTGGCATCTCTGCGGGGAGGTCAGGACGACACACTCTGTCCATGTAACTGGGATCAGGAGCTGCCCTGTCTGAGGAATCCCTGCATAGAGCTGTGGAGCTCAGACCAGCCAGGTGGGGGTTCCCTCGAGTCCACTGGCAGGGTAGAACCAGGAGTGGTCAACCCAGGAGGGACTAAGACCTGTGGGTGGGCAGCACCCTGCCTGGTCCTGAGCTGCCCCTCCTGCCTGGGCTGCACAGGTGGGAGATGGGGAAGTGCTGGGGGTGTTTCAGGTGGGGCCAGACTCAGGAGGGTCCCTGCAGGTTTCTATGCCCTGGAGTCGCTTCTGTGAGGGAAAGGGGTTGGTCCCTTGCAACCTGGGTGCAGCCTTGTGTGGCAGGAGCCATGGAGCTCCTCCACCCCACACAAAATTCCGATTTTGTACCTCCTGAGTTTAGGGTTGGTGTGAGGACAAGAGTGTGAATTGACATGTAGTATTCAGTTATGACTTAAAAATCTTGGGTTGTGAAATTAGACCCAATGACAGACACACACACACAGCTACAAACAGAAGGACATAGAGAAGTGTCTGCCCTTCAGTGACACCCACACACACTTGTCCTATTTCAAATCCCCTGGGGGAGGTGCCAACCTTTTAGGTACCCTCTCATGTGGTTACCCTCCAATGTGCTTACTGTGTGTGTGAATGTCACCCATGTTTCTGTCTCTCTAATTGAATGGGGATGCCTCTCTAATCCCTTTTATCCTGAGGCAGCAGGGAAGGAAAAAGAATTTGGAGTGAAATGAAGTCTCATTAATTTCCAAGTGCGCCTGAATGGGGGCAGGTGGTGAAAATCATTAAATATGACTTTTTTAAAAATACAATTATGAGTAAGACAATACCTTCTGCAGTAATTTAACAGTGTGCTTCATATTTGCAAATATTGATGTTTCTCTCTCACATCAATGTTTCTCTGTCTCCCTTCTCTCTCTCAGAAAACAATGAAAAAAAATGTCCTACAGTGAGGATTAAAAAAAGATAAAAAGGAAAGGAAAAGTTTATTTAAGGAGGTGGCACCAAACACGGAGTAACAGGAGAGTTGATTCCCCAGTGCCTCTAGGGTATGGGTTGTAGAGGGCACTAAGGGACTCAGGCTCCACGTCTCCATTGATGGGTCAGCACTAGGATTCAGGGGAGGTGGTCATTGCAACGGGTCCTATGTCAGCAATGAGGCTGTTCTGTCTGGTTTCCCAAGTTCATTCCATGACTCACCCCAGAGTCTAAATCTTCATGAGTATGTATTTGAGCACATCACATA